GGCACACGGGGGATCTCTCCTCCAAACGTGCACGCCAGACACCCTGTCATTTCAGGTTAAATACAATCACAATATACATATTCATTCTATTTCCGAGAAATGCTTAGCATATTCATGACTTTTCCAAGAACTAATTAGCATATGTTAATATCTTTCACGCATGTCTGTTAGCATCCTCGGGTGGTCTTCGGGGGTCTCAAGGTGAAGGCTTATACTCCTCATCACAGTGTCTGCTGGTTGACCTTTGTTTCTGCGCAGACTCAGTTTTAAGATCACGTATCCCGTGTCCTTCCAGGTTTTTTTGCTCCGGTCTTGTTGCCCTCTTGGTGCCTGTTTCTCTCTGTAGCTTGGTACCTCTGCCCTCCCAAGGCTGAGCTGTCTGGGGTAGAATTATTGAGGAGCCTCTCTATCTTAGAGCTTTCCTGTCTTCTCAAAACAGCAAGTCAAGTTTGTCTAAGTAGTGTTATTGAGGAACCTCTTTAATCTTAAAGCTTTCCTGTCTTCTCAAAACAGCAAGGATCTAGATTAGTTAATTACAGTCACTCTGGTAAGTGGAAATTTTACATTTACAGGTATCATTGGTGAGCGGGGAGGGGGGCCTGCTTGTGACCGGGGTACCTGTCCCCAGAGGGGGGCTTGGGTTCCTGGGGAGGGGTCGGTGTGGCTGAGGGAAGTTGGGGCCTCAGCTCCGTAGGGTGCTTGTGACAGGGGGGCTCATCATGGGGGTGAGGGGGGCTGCCGTTGTGGCCCACCCATGCCCAGGCCCTGGTGACGGGTGCATGGTGGGGCATGGCATGGGTGCCAGCGCCATGCGGGCAGGGCCGCTGTGGGAAACGTTCTGCCGATGTCTGGGAAACTTGGTCGTGGTGCGGGCGCGGCGGAGGTGCTGTGGTGGTGGTCCCTGAGCTCACGGGAGTGTCGTGGCGCGTGGGATGGGTCATAAGCTGTACTGGTGCTGAGGCAGAGGCCTTTAAATAGAGGTTTCATCAAGCTGGCTCCCCGTGAGCCTTATCCTAAGAATTAGTCTTTTTCTGGACATCTTCCTAAGCGCACGTCAAGGGCCATTTTTGGGCCTGGCAAGACTTGTGTTTTGAATTTCTTTGCTTCTTTGTGCTCCCTGGAGCTCTGTCTCACTGACTCCTGCAGAGCAGAGCTCTCCCTGATGTGCGCAGTCCCCCCTCAGTCGCAGTCTCCAGGTTGAAACATCATTCCTTCCAGGTTGACCCTACCGTGAAGGTTCTCCCTTCTGTGGGAGAGCACATGAACAGGGTCTGTACCATGATTCATGCTCAGAGGTCTTCAGCACAGTGATTCAGGTTGATGTGACACTCTGGAAAAGTTTGATTGAAATAAGCAGGAATATTTGAATAAGTTTGTAAGTACTTGTTCTGAAAGCTGTCGTGCTCAGTTGCTTTCTTTCTCAAGTCCTTTATAAATTTTGTGTAATAAGTGGTGACGAAATGAAAGGAAGGCCCAGGCTCAGCATTTCACTGCCCTGCCCCTGCTTCGGGGCAGAGCTGCCCTAGGTGACCTGCACTAGAGACACGGCACACACACCTCTCGTTGTTCCTTGTGTCTGGATGTCC